GAGAGAAATTCGTGAATAAGACAGATGTTGAGCCTAGCCAAAAATGACGCATTTTATAAGTAATGAAAATGATCCATTTTATGTAGACCAAGCTAAATCTAGACCATAATAGTTTCTTTTTATGTGCTGGCAATTCCCAATTTTATGTATGTAGCCTAGATCTCCTCTTCTGAACCTCAGACCCATTTATATTTTACTCAGCAGACATCTCAAACTTACCAAAGTGGAATACATGTTTTCTCAAACAAACAACAAGAAAAACCCGAACTTTTGCTGTATTTCTATCATCTGTCCATTTGTCAAGTCAGAAATCTAGAAACCAAAATCCCTGGCATCTCTCTCTGTCTCATTTGTTAAATAATTTGCCAGTCCTGTTTGGTCTGTCTCCTACATATTTCTCATATCACTGATTCTTTCCATCTCCAGTGTTTATCCTTTTCAAAGCTATTATTATTTGTTTACTGCTAAGGCTTTTTGCTGGCCACCTGGCGTCTAGTCTGTCTGACACTTTCCTCCCTAGGTCATTGTCTCTAGCCTGCAACCAGAGGGAACTTAAAAAATACAAGTCTGATTATGCTACCTTATTACTTAAATTCTTTCTGTGACTGTTAGAATCAAAAATCCTGGAAAGACCTTCTTAATTAGACTTTTCCTGCCTTAGTAACATTTTAAATAATGACACCTTCTGTCATGTTTTCTCTGCTCCAGTCATACTGGTCTTCATTCTTTCATTTCTTACTTCAGGACATTTACGTGCACTCTTCTTTCTCTTTCCCCTTCTCTATCATCTAGCTGTCACTTGTTTATCCTTCAGAATTCAGTCATACTTATTTAAACATAAATGAACCAGTTGTTAGCTATTGAGACCATTACATTAGGGAACACTCGTTTTAAGAGCTATGGTTTCAAAGAGAAAGCATCCTTTTACCTTCTCAAACCTATATCTAAGCAAAGTCTTCTAATGTTTTTAAGAAGCAGAACTAAGGCTGGGAGTGGTGGCTCATGCCTATACTCCCAGCTCTTTGAGAGGCCGAGGCCAGAGGATTGCCTGAGTCCAAGAGTTCAAGACCAGCCCGGGCAACACGGCGAGACCTCGTCTCTTCAGTAAATTTAAAAAAAAATTAGCTTGGCATGGTGGCTTATGCCTATAGTCCCAGCTACTTGGAAGGCTGAGGCAGAATGATCGCCTGAGCCCAGCAAGTCAAGGCTGTGGTAGGAGCAGTCATGCCACTGCACTCTAGCCTGGGGAACAGAGTGATACTCTTGACTCAAAAAAGAAAAAAAAAAAAACAAAAAAAGCAGATATAATTCACTTAATGCCTATATTTTTAAAGTTAATTGCACTACTTTTTTTTTTTGCTCTAAACTTTTAATATTCTCAGAAATTTTGTGAAAGTTTAATTTTCTTTGTCTTCTACTTCCTTTCTGTCAGTGCTCTGTGGCCCTGAAATAGGTAAGAAAGAAAGTAAAAATGTACATAGATAAATACTGAGAGATGACTAGAACAAGAAATAACAATCTAATTTATATATTAATACATACACAATATTATTAATATTGTTTATTAATACATACACAATATTATTGATTTGAAAATTAATAAACTGGGTCGGCATGTAAAAATTATTTAATTTCTTAAGTGAAGTTTGAAAACATTTCAGCTTTGTTTTAATCACACGCAAAATTTCTCCAGTTCTCGGTTTTGAAACATAAGAACATACCACATTTGGCTTTAGATTAAAAATTCACTATCATAGAATAATTCTTATGTTTCTTTCAGGTCACTGTATGATATAAATGGGCTATCTTTTGACACTTGTACCCAAGGCTGGGTGGAAATGAGCGGAATCTGAATTGGGCCCTTGACTGGTGTGCTTCCTTTTCTCTTTTGTGTGGTTAGGTATGGTGTAGTAGAAAGAATATAGACTTTGGACTTAGACATACCCGGTTCAGTTTCCAGCTCCATTAATATATGAGTTTGGGAATGTCAATTACTTGGTTTTCTCATCTGTAAAGATGAGAATAATAATTGTTTGACAGGGTTATAAAAACTAAATTTAGAGAGATTTTCTTCCATAGTATTGACAATCCTTTCCATGGAGTATCGTGTGTAATGAATGAGCCTTCAGTATCCTTATGACCCCCTAATCTAGAGGCTGAATTAGAGACGTTGCATTTAGTGGTCAAGTAGGCCACTTTGACACCTTTTGGTGTTAAACTCGTAGGGTTCTAGGTGGTCAGAGGCATTGTCCAATATCAAAAGAACTTTATTAATTTATTTATTTTTTTGAGTTGGAGGCTCACTCTGTCACCCAGACTGGGGTGCAATGGCCACTCCCGGCCACCACAGCCTCGACCTGCTGGACTCCGGCGATCCTTCCGCCTCAGCCTTCCAAGTAGCCGGAATTACAGGCATGCGCTACCACGCCCGGCTGATTTTTTGATTTATTGTAGAGATGAGGTCTCGCTGCCCAGGCGGGTCTTGAACCCGCGGGCTCAGGCAATCCACTCACCTCAGCCTCCCAAAGGCGCGGGATTACAGGCTGAGCCACCGAGCCCAGCTTCAAAAGAACTCTAAAAATCAATCCTTTACTAGCAGAGTCCATTCTGACTTCAGAGATAAAGCATTGATGAAACCAATCTGGAGAATGGGTTCTTGTTATTCAAGCTTTCTTGTACAACCTGAAGAGTAGCGACTAGTGTTTATCTTTTCTCTTCAAGGCTCTGGAGTTAGTAGCTTTATAAATAAGGGCAGATCATATACCCAACTGTATTTGCGCAAAACAGTAGAGATAGCCTGTCTCTTTTTGCCTTAAATCCTGGTGATCACTTTTTCTCTTTATAATAAATGTACTTTGTGGCATTTCCCCCCCAGAATAGGGTACTTTGCATTAAAAACCTGTTCAGATAGATATCCCCTCCTCAGTGGTTTTCTTACTGGCATCTGCTTTCTCTTGGTCAGCAGAAGCTGCTTCTGCTGCTGTCTTGGCATTTTTAAGCCAAAGCTCTTTGTGAAATTCTCAAACCATTCTTTTCTGACTTTATATTCTCCAGCTTTAGATTCTTCACTTTTTTTTGGTTTAAGTTGTCATATAATGACCACTTTTTCTCGAATATGTTAGAGTCTGTAGGTATGCTTTTCTTAAAGCAATCCTGTACCCACATAAAAACTGCCTTTTTAATATGAGATGAAAAGGTTTCGGTTTCATTGACTTTGTTGGTTTTCCATTCTTTTATCTCTACTCTATTTCCTTCTTAGCTTTTTGAATTTACTTTTTTTTTTTTTCCTTCATCCTTCGGGGCGTGATGTTAAGTTATTAAGTACGTGATTTTTTTTTTCTGTTTTAATACAGATTTCTCTCTAAGCACTGCTTTAGCTGCAGGCTCTAAGTTTTGGTATATTTTGTTTTTGTTTTTATTTATCTGTTCAGTATTTTGTAATTTCTCTTGTAATTTCTTTTGATTCATTGGTTGTTTTCAGTGTGTTGTTTAATTTTTACATATCTGAATTTTTTAGTATTCTGATAATTTCTCATTTCATTTTACAGTATTATGATTGAAGTTCATACTTTACATGATTGCAGTCTTAAGTGTATTGAGACTTGTTTTGTGGCTTTAATATATGCTCTGTTCTGGAGAATCTAGATGTACACTTGAGAAGATTGTGTATTCTGTTGTGTGGAGCATTCTGTATATGTTAGGTCTAATTTTTTTATTGTGTTGCTTGATTCCTGTATTCCTGTTGAACTTTTCTAACTGGTTATTCTATCTATTACTGAAGGTGGAGTCTTAATGTCTCCAGCTGCTATTTCATTGTGAACTATTTCTCCCTTCAGTTCTATTGATCTTTGCTTCATCTATATTGGGGTTCTTTTAACTATGTACAGGTTATATTAATTATAACTACTGAATTGATTGACCTTCTTATCAGTATAGGAAGAGGGACCCCCCAAAATCTGGAATTTATTAATAAAAAGTATGCATTTATTCTTTTTTTTTTTTCTTTCATTGCTACTTTCTTTTTTTTGCATTTATTCTTATGTGTTTAAACTTCGGTCATCTTCAAAGTTCTCTTCATTTGATTCAATACACCTATTGAGATGCTTTTTCCACTGCTCAAAACAGTTTTTGAACTTGTCAGTTTTGATGCCTTTTTAGTGCTTCTGCTGTTTTTTGTTTCACTTCATACACATGGGCAAAACGTTTCCTCTGAGGACTCTTCATTTGGGGAAACAAAATTTGTTTGGGGTGAGGTCAGATGAATAGGGTGGGGCAGGGGGTCATGCTGTTTTTCGTCAAAAACAGTCAGCACCGTGTCAGCAGGTACACTTGTAAATCATCCATCACGAAAGGGACAAATGCCTTGAGAGAGCACCAAAAAAAAAAAAAAAATTCACTGAAGCTCAATGCAGTCTTTTACAACAATGCTAGCTGGTACACTGATGCTCATGGGTTCCTAGAACATTTACCTAGCAGGGAATCCTGTACTATAAGGGGCCCACCCTCCAAAAAATAATACCAGGTTTTTTTGGGTCCCTTCCTGTACAGTGCCTTTTGTGTCTTGTACTAGTTTTTGAACTGAAGTTTATTTTGCCTAACGTTAGTAGGGCCATCTTTATTGAGTTGAATTGCTTCCCCTAAAAGATGTTGATCTCCTCACTCAGGTACCTGTAAATGTAACATTTGGAAATAGAATCTTTACAGATAAATAGGCCTTTGTGACAGTTTGTTTTGATAGCCCTATAAAGCTAACAGGTTTTGGTATTGGAAATGGTGTGTAACAAAATACCTAAAAATATGGATGTCGTTTTGGGATTGGGTAATGGATATTGGCTGGGAGTGTTCTGAAGTATTTGATCAAAAAAACAACCTAGATTACCCTGAAGATGGACAGAAATAGAGAGTTAAAGGCAATCTGGGGAGGCCTTAGAAAGAAATGATGAACATAAATATTGGACGGTGGTAAAAAAGTGATTTTTTTTTTTTAGAAAGTTGCAGAGCACTTATGAATTGTGTTCTTTCATTGGGTAAGCATTGAAGTTGGATCCTTAGCTGAGAAGATTTCCAAGCAAAGTGTTTAAGGTGCAGATTTATTTCATCTCCTACATATATTAAAATGTAAGAGGAAAGAGATAAGTCGAGAAATGAATTGTTTAGCAAAAAGGAACCAGCACTTGATGATTTGGAAATTTCCCAGTCTATCCAGATAGTTTATTCTGGTAAAGGAACCAAGGGTATGACTGGACAACTGCTTTTCTAAAGAGACTAGATATGTAACTTGTGGACCCAGTCAACTATCAGTACTTCTCAGAATAGAAATGAGCAATTATATCCAGGAAAGCTACCTCATTTGGTGGCTTGAACCATGTGAATCACATAAGAGACTGACAAGGTTTTTTGAGACTTTTCTGACAACAGAAACACTGCCAGATGGAACTGAAAGGGATAGAGACAGGATGAAATGAAAGAAGAATGGCACTGAGCATAGAGCCACAAATACATAGGCCTGGCCACAAATATTAACGCAAGACCTCCTGGGATCAGAGGACAGGGCTGTTTCCCCATTGAGCCCAGAGTGCACATCATTGATCCACGGAGGATTGTTCTTAGATCTCAAAATCTAATAGAATTTGCTTTGCTGGGTTTTAGACCTGCCAGGGTCACATGACCCTTCTTTTTTCTTCTAGTTGCTCCTTTTTGATAGGGAAATAGCCATTCTATACCTATCCCACTATTGTATTTTGGAATCAGATAACTTGTTTTTTGATTTCAGAGATCCGCAGATGGAGAGGAATTTTGCTCCAGAATGGACCATACTCCAAGTCTTACTCATAATTGATTTAAATGACTTTAGATAACAAGATTTGGTTTTGAGTTAGTGGTATTTAGATGAGATTTTGGATTTAAGAGTTGATGCTGGACTGAGTTAAGACTCTGGGATGTTAGGATTAGGTGAATATATTTTGTATATTGGAAGGACATTAATTTTAGGGGGCCATAAGGTACAGACTATTATGGGTTCAATTTCGTCCCAGCAAAAGATGTGTTGAGGTCCTAGCCCTTAGTTCCTATGAACATGAACTTATTAGTGTCTTTGCAGATGTAATCAAGTTAAGATAGAGATGGATGTGCTATTCAATAAGGGCATTTTCTTTTCATTAGGATGAACAATTTATATCAGATTGGCATCATTTATCCAGTGGATAAAATCCACAATATGGGAAGTTATGGATGTATCAGTAAGCCCTTCATCATGAAGAAGAAAAGGGCTTTATTGAGTACAGGAGGTTATGGAGTGGGTTCAGAGTCCATCTTGGTACAGTTGGGTTGAGAAAAAGATTATTTTCCCTATTATTAAATGCTATAATACTTAATAGAAGGTGTTGGATTATTCTCTTTGAATAAATTATTTTAAAATAGTCATGACCTAGATGTAAAGATCCTTGACTATTAACCTCAAAATATAGTTTCTAGATCTAGGTGTACTTATCTAACTTTGTGATCCTGAACAAGTTGTTTTCTTTGGCTTCCCAGTTACTTTATGGTTAAAACTTACTGGATTGTACTTAAACTAGATGATCTTTAAGGCATTTTACCGTTAACGTTTTATTTATTTATTTATTTTATTGAAATAGCCTAGATACAAGAAGGGTGAGGCAATAATGAGTGGAAAAGATGATGGAAAGGAAATGCACAAACTGATTGAATAATTATGCTGGGTGTTTAGATTCCCATTGCTGTTCACCTCTGCATTTTAAACTAATTTTATTCTATTATTTCATAGAACTTTCAAACAGAATAGTTAAAGCGAAAATAGCCCACAGTCATCACATTGCTTCATAGTGGAGGAGGAAACTATTTTTTCAGACCTTAAATGTTAAGCAAAAATGTTACTATACTGTATATAGTTTGTGTCTTTTTTTATACATTTAACAATATTTTTGCCAGTAATTCCATGTCATTGTTTACAGATACCTCTGTATAGTATTCCATTGTAGTGTGTCACCATTTTTGTAAACACTTTCTCATTGATGGAGGGTTAGGTTGTTTCGATTTTTTGCTATTAAGCATGCTATAGTGAACCTCAGTGTACCAGTTTATTTTCCTAGGGTGGAGCTACTTAGAGGTGAAATTGCTGGATATGTTTTTGGAACTTTCTTGGAGGTCCTAGTATTTATCAATTTCTTGTGTATCCTTCCATATGGGTTGTTATCATATGTTAGATATAGATGATCTTACCTGTATTTATATATATGCACACACATAATTTATAAAACAAATCCTCTTATAGCATTAGTGCTGTAATGACTAACATACATAGTCATTTTGTAAGTGTTATAATTTTGTATGATAAATTTCTAGTCGTTGAACTTCATGTGGAAAGGTTTATATATGTATTTATAATTTTGGTGTATATTGCCAGATTGGCTTCCATTGAAGTTTTGCTAATAGCTACACTACTGTCTCTGTATCAGAGTGTCTGTTTCCTACAGCCTTGACAATTCTGTATGTTATTTGTTATGAGTGAGTTGAACTTTTTTTATCGTTTGTCCATATGTTTGAAACCCATGTCTTTACCTAGGTGCCATTTTTCTAATTGGGTTGTTAGACTTTGCTTATGGTTATTTTGTCATGCAGAAAATTGTTTTTATGTTTATGCAGTCAGATGTATTCGTCTTATGACCTGAAATTTTGTTTTATTGTAAAGGCATTTCCCATTTTGAGATTATTAAAAGAATCTCTCATTGTCAAAATGGGATTATTTCTAATATATTGCTTTTATATAGACTACCTTAGTATACTACATCTGACTAAGTAATAAGCTATCCCAGGTGTGAAAGTCAATTTCTGATATTAACTTTTACTTATTACTCAGGAGAGGAGGACCTACTGCACCTTATTCACACTTAAAACATGAGGAAGTTTAGGGTAGCAATAACAGATTTTGTGTGTGTACTTATTCACATTATCTCATAAGACAGCTGAAAACAGAACAACACTGGAGGGGGCTTTGCCATGGAATTGCTCTATTGTTCTAAGCAAAACTATTGATTAGAGTCAAGGGAAGTTATTTCTGTTGATGGAGTTTCTTTTCAGTAATTTCTTATAGGACTGTGGTTGTTAAACCATCTAGATCTGCAGTCTTTTTTTGGTGCCTGTGTAGTTCTGGTCGTCTTTCTGGGACCACTTAATATCATTTCTTTTAACTTAAATCTAAAGGTTAGAATTTCATGAATTGGATTACTTAAGTATATTTAGCATTGTATTTTATAGTAGTTAAGGCAGTATAAAATTACTTTGCAACATGAAGTAATTTTTTTAGCATGATGACTTTAAGGATACTTTTTATGTAATTTTCTTCGCTAATCTTGTTTTTTCTGTTTCAGTAAAAATCTACTTTTTTATTTGGAAAACAATTTATTCTCTTCAATGACTGAATTTTCAATTAGTAGATACGCAGCAATGACTTTTAGTTAACTGAAAACGTAAAAAGAATGGCATATGTTTTTATCTAGATCCTAAGGAAGAGAAAGAAGACGATTCTGTCCTCCCTCAGGACGTTTCCATCGCTGCAACTAGACCTAGCCGAGGCTGGCGCAGTAGTAGCAGGACATCTGTCTCTCGCCATCGTGACACAGAGAACACCCGGAGCTCTCGGTCTAAAACTGGTTCATTGCAGCTCATCTGCAAGTCAGAACCAAATACAGATCAGCTTGATTATGGTACGGTGAAAGTAGAGTATGGTTGCTTAACAATCAGTTGCTTTTTTATTTTAAATGTAATGTTGAACATTTATCTAAACAGCTTAACTTTCAGGGACAGATTTGGTAGGGTTTCTTTTGAAAAGATTGTTGCTATTCTTCTTCTGTATAATTACCCCATGCAGTAAATTGATATCAGTCTCTTGGCTACAGCGAGAAAATTTCTTACCTTACATCTAAAGTTTTGTTTTGACTTTATTTTTCCAGATGTGGGAGAAGAGCATCAGTCTCCAGGTGGCATTAGGTAAAAAAAAAAATTTCATATTTTATTCTAACCTTTGGGGAGAGAGTACAATGACATTAGATGATTCAGAAGTTGTTTCTTTGAAAGGATTTTAAGCTATAAGACAGATTAACTTCAGTTTTGTTATAGACTTAGATTCTACATTAATCTTGATTAGAAGTTTAACTACGTAATCTTTAGCTATGTAGTTCAGAAACCATGTCTTGAGTGCCTTCTGTGTTTGGGTTTATTCCATGCTAGGCACTAATGTGAGATGTGGGTGTTTTGACCAGGACTTTGAGATTGTATCAGTATCTTCTGTTGCAAGCCATGATTTTATCTATTGGTACAGCAGATCACTAGACATAATATTACAAAGTCAATTGTTTTTTAACTCTTAGTGCCATTGAGCAGTCATCACCGTAACCTTTATTGAATAAAGAGGTAGCATATCTAGGATTTATGAATTTTTAGATGCAATTATTATTTTTTAGGATAAAGCCAGCTAGATTGCAGTCCACCTAGAGCATCAGCATGAAAATCCTAGATATGTTAATGTGAATTTTTGGCTACCCATAAAGAAATTACCAAATAAAATCCAGTCACACATGATCCTTACAACCAGAATTTATTGCTGTTTACTTATTTTTAGTAGTGAGGAGGAAGAGGAGGAAGAAGAGATGTTAATCAGTGAAGAGGAGATACCGTTCAAAGATGACCCACGAGATGAGACCTACAAACCCCACTTAGAAAGGCATGTCTCAAGTTTTACTGCAGGCATATCAGTGAAAACTTTTGAATGCTTTTATTTTGTCTTGTTGTCAAACTAATGTGTATAGAATTAATTTTAAGTGAGTAACTATGTACTTGTTTTACAAATCTTCCATCTTATCACACCCCCCATACAATCCTCTTTTCCATTTTTGTGGAACTTTATTTTAATTATATCCAGATTTTTATGATGTCTGCATGTTTTATCTTAACAAGCCATCATTAATTGCCTCAATACTTAGAATTCCTTTTCACTTATTGTTCATTTCTCTTTACAAGTATAGTGAGATTTGATTATCAGCCATCTTTAGCCTGGTGGAGTCATTCCATAGGCATTTTTTAAGTAAATATATATTTCTCGATACTGTACATATGAGAAATGGTGGGAAATCACATTTCATGAGCTTAGTATTATAATTTTATAATAAATCTATGATAACCCTTAGCTTTGATTTGCCACCATATTTTCCTTGAAAAGATTCTTTGTGGGATACCAGTGTTAAAATGCATTTTTGTGTTCAGGGAAACCCCAAAGCCACGGAGAAAATCAGGGAAGGTGAAAGAAGAGAAAGAGAAGAAGGAAATTAAAGTGGAAGTGGAGGTAGAAGTGAAAGAAGAAGAGAATGAAATTAGGGAGGATGAGGAACCGCCTAGGAAGTGAGTAAACAATTACTACAAATAATGGAAATCCAACAGATTTGAAACTCCTTGTGGCAAAAAGAGTGGGAGTGGGAGGAGGGATACTGACATACACATGTTTTAAAATTTTTTTTAACTTAAAAAAAATTAGTGTCAAGCAGCTGACAGTTTTATCGGAGATACTCTTATATAGGCCTTCTGGTTCTGTTAATAGAGAATACAGTTTATATTTTCATAGTTTTTAGATAATACTGTTTTATTCTGCGTTTTAAATTGACTAAATTTAGGTGATAGACTGTAACAGCTCTTCAAGTAATACATTGAGATTTATCTAAATCTTTTATAGTAATGCATAGATATGGAAGGCATACATTTAATCTGTGATGCAGACTGATTAGAAAGTGAAATTCAGAGTAAAATCTTGCATGATTTGCCAGATATGTATTTGGTTTTCTGTATTATTGGTTATCCTTTGAGCCTGCCACCTGCTCTTTGTCCTTGAGTATATATGTATATGTGTGTCTTCAGCTATCCTTTACTCCATAAGTTTCAACCCAGAATATGTGGACAGTTACTCTGTCTTTAATTATAGGAGAGGAAGGAGACGAAAAGATGACAAAAGTCCACGTTTACCCAAAAGGAGGTGAGGAATTTCTACTCCTACTGTTTTACATATTATTTACATATTATTTTGCACTTTACTCACACATTTGGACATCTTAATAATCATACAGAAATGGCTGTTTAAAAATTACACAAAAGCAACTTCATTCATGCCCTTGTGCACAAATGCTATTTTTATTTTCATAGCAGTATCTTGGAATTTCTAAAGATCTTAAAATTTTACCTTTTGGAGGTTATTGGTTTATTTGTGCTATTTTAAAACTCTATCAAACATTTGGCAATTTCTGGTTACTGCTAACATAATTTCAGTGCAAGCTATATATTAATAAAGGAATTTTAATTCTTTATACTATAAGAGAGCTGTTCTCTTATAGGATAGTTTGAGAATAGCTGTGCAGAATGCCACTTTTCTGTTGCTAACTTTTCTCCTACATTTGGATAATAGAAAAAAGCCTCCTATCCAATATGTTCGTTGTGAGATGGAAGGATGTGGAACTGTTCTTGCTCACCCTCGCTATTTGCAGGTTAGTGAAGCTGTTAATAAGACAGGCTTTCAGATTATCTTCCATTTTTTTTTCTCATACCTCATGAGACTTCATAATTTGTTGACTTGTATAAGCTTTATCATTGACATGTATTGTCAAGAAGTATCTCTCTGTAAACATAAAATCACTTTTATCATTCTGTCTTTGTGCTGCTATAGCAGGATACCTGGGACTGGATAATTTATAAAGAACAGCTCATGGTTCTGGAGGCTGGGAAGTCCCAAGTGCATGGCACTGGCGTCTGGCAAGGGCTTTCTTACTGTGTCAGCTCATGGTGGAAGGGCAAGAGAAAAGGACAGTGAGACAGGGCAAGAGAGGGCTGAACTTGCTTTTATAACAAACCCACTCTCATGATAACATTAATCCATTTATGAGGGTGGAGACCTCTTGACCTAAGCACCTTTCATTAAAGCTCAGCTCCCAGCATTATTGCATTGAGGATTAGATTTCTAACACATAAATTTTGGTGGACACATTCAAACCATAGCATATTCTGTTTTTGTTTTTGTTTTTAAATGTGGCTGAGAACCTGAGCCCAAATAGTATAGTACTTTTCAATGTGGTACAAATATTTCTGCTATAAGAAATGATTAATGCACCAGAACTCAGACTGACAGATTTATTGTAATATATATTAGAAAAACATGTGAAATTGAAAGCTTAAGCCAATGAGTTCCTGGATTCTGTGTAGAGTGAATAAAAGACTTTCAGTTTGGGTTGGCTTTTATTTTTCTTAAGTGAGTCCATTTTTTTTAGCAAGTAAAGGTATAGCTTATATGTAGGTCTGACAGAAAACATGGAAGTGGAATACTGCTTAGAAAGTGACAGAAAACATGGAAGTGGAATACTGCTTAGAAAGTGCCTATTTGATCTATAGTAGCAAGTATAACATGAGACCAAAGCCTTACTTTTGGATTGTGGTTCAGTTCAATAGTAATAACTATGATTCTTTTGTTACATTCATTTGCTGCACTAAGCACTATACACTATATGATTTCTTTATTCCCACAACCACACTATGAGATATTTTTATTGTTTTTCTCCATTTTACAAATGAGAACTGGAGCTTGAAATATTTAAGTACATCCCCTAAGACTATGCTGCTGGCGAATGACAGACCCAGACTGGAACTCAGGTCATATATTTCCATAGTGTGTGCTCTTAGCCATTTTATTATACTCCCTCACTATTCAAAGTATTTGGTTTTCCTTTTAGCACTTTTGACTTATCAAAGAGCTTTCTGGAAGCTTTAATTTTTATCTGTTTTCCCTTTGTTTTACTGTTTTAGCACCACATTAAATATCAACATTTGCTGAAGAAGAAATATGTATGTCCTCATCCCTCCTGTGGACGACTCTTCAGGCTCCAGAAGCAACTTCTGCGACATGCCAAACATCATACAGGTGCTTTTTAAAATATAATGTTTATCAAGTAGCTAATTGCACTGTACTTTAAGTGTGCAGATTGGTAATGATTTTTCTAACATAAATTTTAAAAGAGTCTATTGTTAAGTGTGAGAGAAAGTTATGAAAATAAAATATAATAAGAAGACATACATTTTATAAGGGATGAAGAAACTGGGGCTTTTTAACTTTTGTCCTATGACTTGGAGAACTTTTATGACCAGGATAATGGTCTTTTATTGAACATTTATTCTGTATCAACGGTGGACTAAACATTTTATTTAGGTGTTACTGATCTATCTATTCAGCACAACTAAGTTTATTTGTATTAGCCTTGTTTTACAGCGGAGAAACTAGCAGCTTAGCAGCAATAAATAAGTTGCCCATGGTCACATAGCTAGTTTTTAGCAGAAACAGAATTTTAAAATTCTGGTTCAGATAGATTCTTGTGATAACTGTTTTGGACTAAAAGTGGAGAATCTTGGAGAAAGCCTAAACAGTAAAACTGAGACTTGACTATAGTTTATGGTTAACCATGAAATAGCTCTTGGGACTTCTGCTGCTTTTGAAATCACAAAAGGATAGCTATTGAATTTACATGCAAACTCCTGTGGGAACTGTTGACTCAGAAAGAGACATTGCTGGGCTTGGTGGCTCAGCCTGTAATCCCACGCTTTGGGAGGGCGAGGTGAGTGACTTGCCTGAACCCGCAGGTTTGAGACCCGCCTGGGCAACTTGGTGAGACCTCATCTCTACAATAAATAAATTAAAAAATTAACTGGGTGTGGTAGCGCACGCCTGTAGTTCCAGCTACTTGTAAAGCTGAGGTGGAAGGATCGCCGGAGCCCAGCAGGTCGAGGCTGCAGTGGCCGGGAGCGGCTACTGTACTCCAGTCTGGGCGACTGAGTGAGACTCCAACTTTAAAAAAAAAGAGAGAGACATTTAGTGTCTTTGTAATACATGCTATAGAATAGACTCATATTCCTTTTATTTATAACCACTGACAGTCACAGCACAGGGCACCTAATAGGGGCAAATTGGGCTAGGTACCACTGAGTATGTGCCAGGCACTTGTTTATTATTACATATATCATCTTTTCAACAGTCTTGGAGAGTAAATCTAGGAGCTCCAGTTGCAGAAATACTATGTTGCCTGCCCAAGGTCATACTGATATGTGTACTTTCTCTTTCGTTTACTATTAGGCAAGTTACTTCTCACCTTTTCTTCTCTGTAAATTAAGGATACCAATATGACAGAGTCACTGTAAGGATGAAATGAGATAACATAAAGTGCTATTTGCAGTGCATAGCCTGTCACATGGTAGACTTTTTCAAAATACCAGGATTGAACTTGTATCTTAATCACTCCAAAGTCTATGGTCTTTTTCTGTACCATGTTTCTTGAGAGAGAATACCATCTCTACTATGTTTTTGCTTTGTTTTTTTAAGAGCCAGGTCTTGCTCTGTCACCCAGGCTTAAGTGCAGTGGTACAATCATAGCTCACTGTAGCCTTGAACTCCTGGGCTCAAGCCATTCCCTTGCCTCCCAAAAAGCTGAGACTTACAGGCATGTACCACCGTTCCTGGCTAATTATTTTTTGTAGAGATGGAGTCTCAATATGCTGCTCAGGCTGTACTCTGTTTTGATGGGTACTGTAATTTTTCTATTCTTGTTAATACTGTTTTATGCCATAGAAAAGTCATTTCTGACAACCACCTTAGATTATTTTAGTTAAATATCAAAAGCTTACTATGAGAAACTTTCATAGACTCAGTCCATCTTAAATATTTATTTTTGGTTAATACAGTTTTATGGTGTTCTTTTTGCAAAGTAGTTTATATGGATTCCCTTTGCAAATATAATTTATTTAGCAAATGGATGCCTCATTCAGGTTTGCCATGTTTCTGTGGAACTGGAAATGTGAACAAGACCTATGCTAAGAGTTGTCTATGGGTTAGAGAGCTGTGCATTTTCAGACCTTGCTATACAAAGTGTGGAACACAGACCAACCATCATTGGCATCACTTGGGTTCTTGTTAGAGATACTATAGAATATGAGTTCCTACTTCAGACCTAGTGAATCAGCATATGCATTTAATATGATATGATATGTGATTCCTGAAAGGAGTAGAAGATATGTCGCAGTCATTCATTCAACAAATACATGTTGAACACCTCTTTTGTTCATGGATCCCCAACCAAGTCATAAAGAATAAAAGTAAGTTTAGTGTTCCTTTGCCCTATAGATTCCACACATTATGTTACCCCATCCATCAAAAATCCTGAGTGATCAGGTGGGGGGTGTTGTGAAGTGGTAGAGGGAGAAAGTTGAATGGTACAGATGATGTGGGGTAGGAGAATAAAGAAACACAGGTAGTGGTAACTTGTATTTGATAGCAGCACTTGAGTCTTTTTAGAAGTTTACTTGGGTAACGTTTTTTAAGCCTGAACCAGTGACTATGACAACCATTATAGGTTTAGATCTGTTTTCTTCTGTGGAGTGCCAAATTCTTTTTTTGTTGTTGCTTTGCTTTCTTTTGTTTGAATGCCACATTTTTTCTTTGTAAGCATTCAGCTTTCATGATCTGCGAAAAGACTGTTTTAAAGAGTAAAACCCATGGACAATGTAGTTGTTTATTCACTAAACAGTTTATCCAGTTCCTGGATTAGTGGTAACATCGAGATTAAGGTTTCAGTTCTCGTATTTCTATCTAGTTTTTTGTTTGATTTTTAAATAGGTTTTTACGCTACTGGATGTATAGATTTAAAAAACAAAAAGATCAAATCAATATATTTCTTTTCAAAATTTTGTTCACTCAAGGTGTTTATATGTTGAAAACAGCATTGCATTTACTCTAAATTGACCTACCTGATCATTTGCTACTTATTGTGAGCTAAGGAAAATACTAAGAGGGTGTCTAAATGGAACACTAACCATGTTATTTTTGTACTTAGATCAAAGGGATTATATCTGTGAATATTGTGCTCGGGCCTTCAAGAGTTCCCACAATCTGGCAGTGCACCGGATGATTCACACTGGCGAGAAGCCATTACAGTGAGTATTTATTTACTGGTGAACATCTGGGTGAGAAGTATATATCCTCCTTAAAGGTTTGCACTTTTACAAACATTTCAGTTACTGTTGCTATTAATTTTTATCAAATCAAAGAGTAGGTATTGATTGGGGGAGCTACTTAGTGACTGCTTTCTTTATTTTCCTCTGTTTTTCAAGCAAACAGAAGAAGAAATCAGATTAGTTTTCCATCTAGTAATGTTTTCTATTCTTTCACAAGAAGTATATTTTAATGATTATTATGTGTGTGTATGTGTGTGAGCTCAAAATTCTCACCTTGACCCTGAGTAAGAGCTTTATTTCTCTGTTTAATCAACCATTTCCTCTTTCACTCTCCTTAGATGTGAGATCTGTGGATTTACTTGTCGACAAAAGGCATCCCTTAATTGGCACATGAAGAAGCATGATGCAGACTCCTTCTATCAGTTTTCTTGCAATATCTGTGGCAAAAAATTTGAGAAGAAGGACAGTGTAGTGGCACACAAAGCAAAAAGCCACCCTGAGGTGCTGATTGCAGAAGCTCTGGCTGCCAATGCAGGCGCCCTCATCACCAGCACAGATATCTTGGGCACTAACCCAGAGTCCCTGACACAGCCTGCAGATGGTCAGGGTCTTCCCCTTCTTCCTGAGCCCTTGGGAAACTCAACCTCTGGAGAGTGCCTACTGTTAGAAGCTGAAGGGATGTCAAAGTCATACTGCAGTGGGACGGAACGGGTGAGCCTGATGGCTGATGGGAAGATCTTTGTGGGAAGCGGCAGCAGTGGGGGCACTGAAGGGCTGGTCATGAACTCGGATATACTCGGTGCTACCACAGAGGTTCTGATTGAAGATTCAGACTCTACTGGACCCTAGTGGAAGGGAAGACTTGGGGCACTGGGACAGCTCAGATTTGTATTTAAAAGTTAAAAAGGACAAAAAAAAGTTTAAAGCATTTAAAATCTAGTAAATAACTGAAGGGCCTGCTCTTTCCATTGTGGATCCCAGCACACACATACACACACACCCATCCCCATTCCCTATTCTCCCTTCATTGTTCCTCCTATAAAATTGATGCTGTCTTTACCAGAAAGGTAGACAAAAAAGAAGCAGCAGCAGCTCTTAAAGTGCGTTATCCTCATATTCAGTTCCAGCCATCAGCAAACTTCCTGCTTATCAGCAGATCCCCTTTTCAACCTGTAACTCTGATGTGCTCTGGATCAGCTTTTAACTCTTAATAGTATATTACTGTCTTCTAAATCCCTTCTCCTCTACTGCTGCCCTATGGTTCTGGCTTCTATCCACTGTAGCACACTTATCCTCAAATGTCTTATAATTCTAATCCCCAGAGGCTGGCAGCTTAACTTGGCACTTTAGGGCCCCTTAGCAGGGTGAGCTGTTAAAACAGCACACATCTCTTACCCCTCTTCCTCCATTCCCCACTGGGTTCTGGAAAGGAAGGATACATGGGGACCACCTCCCTCCTCTTTGATCCCAGCATCTCAGTCCCCCTCCCAACCCTCCATATGGCTCTCAATGGTGCTCACTTGCTTGGAAGCAGGCTCCCAAGAGGGAGGGGGCTGCCCACTACACAGTCTCTTTGACTGTAAGACAGGGCTCTGTATCAATGAGATGGTGAGAAAAGTCCCAGGCTAATGGCAGAAATTTGCACTTTGAACATGTGTGTTTTTGTGTTGTGGAACCTGAGATTCCTTATTTATTAACAGAAAGTTTGATTTTTTTTTTTTTCCTTTTTTCTTTTTGGTCTTTTTGCTATATTTTGTGGGGCTGGAAGAGATTAGGTTATTCTGACATAGGATCCTTTCCATAAGAGGTACTTTGAAGGCATGACATAGGGTTGTAGAAGCACAGCCAGCCTCTAAAATCTTAGCTCTCCAGTGGCCTTTAAAGAAAGCTGGTCCTCAGCACTAACAAAATCACTACAATAGCCTAGTGCTTTTTTGGAAGCCTTTTTAGGGAAGGATATTAAGTTTGTGGAAACTAGTGTGCTCTTTAAGATTTTTTAGAGCATTGGGATTTAGGAACTTTGAGAGGATGAAGAGAATTGTTCAGGATCTGAATTACAGTTAAAGAATTTTTTCTTGTGAATTTATTTTCTGGGTTTTTTTTGTTTTGTTTGGTTTTGGTCCCCATTTCCTTAGATACACTTCCCTATTGGCCCAAAATGGCTCCTTGCTTCATTTTTGTTTCTTGCTTTGCTTTATCATTGGTTCATTCCAGCTCCCTATTAGTGAAGGACACTGCCGTTAGTGAAGGAACAAAGTCTATGAGTCCTAAAGTTTTAAGTCAAAGAAAACTGCTCTGTTTCGCTTTTAGTAACACTTCAGAAGAGGAAGGGCTTCAATAGACAAAGTTAATAATCTGTATAATAATGGCTTTGGCTTTCACCTGAAATTCTGGGAATCACTACTTTCTTTGGGATAGGGATTTTAATGGTGTGTGGATTGATTATTACTGTCCATGGGAGAGACAGTGTTTTTGTTCATAACTCCTAGAAGCCTAAAGACCTATTTGTCTCATTTTTAGAGAATTGGAAGAGCAATTCGTATCCTTCTGTGTACCTCAGAAGCTGGAATTGAAGGCTTACTCTATTCATTGTTTATTGTCAGAAATGTATGATAGCTGTTGGAAAGAATGAAGTTTTGCTGAAAACAAAATAAGGAACAGCTTGTTTTTCACAAACACTAAAACTGCAAAGTTTATCAATCCTCTCATTCCCCCCAAAGAGAGGTGACAAAATGTCATCTCTGAAAGAGGCTTACTTTACACCCACTAGTGTCAGTGGTTGGGATGCCAGAGAATTGGGAGTGAAACACCTACAGTGAACAATCTTAGATGCACTATTGTTTCTTTTCAGAATATTGCAGATTTGCTGTCCCTACAATGTGGGGGAAGAAAATGGAAAAGGAAAGAAGGGATGTAGAATATGCTTTCCCGCCCACAGTAAGGGTTTAGATGTGACTTTGGTATGTTGAGTCGATCTGCAATATTGTAAGATTGATTGACTGGGTCTGCAACAAAATTGTTCTACTCCATTTTATACTATTTTGCCATCTAACATCTGTATGTCACACTTAGCTTTTGTTTTTGTCACACGTATCCTTTGTTTTCATAAATTTCGTTTGCAGTTGGTTAGTCATCAGATGTTTTAGCTACCTACACATACGCAAACTGCATTTTTAAAAATCTTATTTTTCTGAGATGAGGGAAAATATGTTCTTCCCTAGACCAGTCTCCCCTTCCCTGCAAAAGCCATCTAGTTAGTTCTACTAATTAGAAACTTTCTGTTCTTTTCTTTCTTTCCTTTTCTGGGGGCCAGGGGGTTCCTCTTCATAGCCACCATTTGCCTACAATAAATTACTGTAGCAGTTTGCAATACATTCTGAAATACTTTTCGTAGACATTATATTTTTCCTTTTGAGAAAGGAGTGCTAACATTGTGGAGAGTTGGTATAAGTAAACTATCCAAGCCCTTTTCCCATTTTCCTTTCTATTCCGCATGCTTTTTATTTCATCATCCTTCCAAGGAGCTCTTTGAGTCTTAAAATTCTGTATTTCATACTTAGTCAGATTATTACCTTTTCAGTAATTTCTATCTTGAATTGACAATTCTAAATTCTGAAAATGTAGGTAAGATAAAACTATTTGATATTTCTGGAAGATGTGCTTCCCTCTTGTTTGTGGTTGCCCAGAGTTATTTTGCATAATTGAAGCTGCTTAATATGCTTCAGAGAGTTTAGACAAACTGGCCATGGGAGTACTCAGAGTAAAATAAAATTAAGGTATAGAAAAGCATCCACATAGAGCACTTGAACCTCCTTTGTACTTGTTTGGGGAGAAAATATAGAATATACTACCAACCTAACTAAGGTTATTGCAGTCTGGTGATTTGAAATACCATTTTTTCATTCTTTTGTCTTTTTCCCACTTTTCAATGTACTCAAGAAAATTGAAAAAATGTAATGGATCGATTTAAAATATTTTATTTCCTAAAAGCCTTTTTTGCCTGTTGTAATGTGCAGGACCCTTCTCCTTTGATGGGAGAGACAGGTAGTTACCTGAATCTAGGTTGAAAAGGTTATGTAAAAAGAAATTATAATAAAAGGGATACTTTGCTTTTCAAATTCTTGTTTTCTCTTAATCTAGGTAAGGCATATTCAAAATAAATATGTAAAGAAGAAAAATAAAAGTCTTCACGGAAGCAGCTTGTCTTCCTTGGTTGTACTGAGTTACAGATATCCTAGAGGTAAAACAGTTGATGCTGCTGAACAAACCAGGTGCCCCTGGAGAGGTTTTATGTGGGCTATACTATTGTTTTCTCCCATGAAGAATCTGGTAGTTAATTTTTAATTCAGTTTATTCTTTATTTCTAACACTAAAATCTCATTTGGTTCTGTGATCAGCAAACTTGGAAATCTTTTTGATGTTTTGAAATTCTTCTATAGGAAAAGGCACATTAATCTAGCAGGTGGAGCATGTGATATGACTGGGATAAGGAAGAGAAATGAAGAGCATGTTGTCACTTGAGGGAGACTGCCTTAGAAATGTTACCAAGTTAGGGTTGGGTGTTTCCTATCTTTTGGAAGAACGGGCCTAAACAACAACTTTCTCCTCATCTTGTAGCTACCAGGAAGGCACTATGATTGAGATTAGAGATGCTCCTTTGGTTGGTTTTTCATTAAGTGTAAATTAAACTAACTTTTACAAAATAGTTATCAAAAGGAGAGGAGTGAAACAATGCCATATTTGTAATATTTGTAAAGGACTTATTTCACATAGCCTTTGTGTCTTGAAAAAAATGAAATTGGAAAGTCAGAGAAACAACTAGAATCAAAAGCCTATATTTGAATTTGAGCTTGGTTATTGGATTTTGTGAACATTAATATTTACCTCAGAATTATTTTAAAGATCAAATGAGGTTGCTTTAAAATCTTTGGCATGGTGTCTGACCCATGGTACATGCTTAATAAATGGCAGCTATATTAATAATAATGAATATATGATTGAATACTTTGGCTACACACAAAAAAAGGGAGCATAAGGGAGGGTGATAATAAAATAGATAACATTAGGCAGGGGTGTCATGAGGATTAGTGTGACTTGTTGCTAAGTGCAAAAGCAAAACAATAACATAAAAACAAGCTTGCTAAGTACTGAGTGGAGGAGAGAGATGGGGGCAGACGCTGCAGGGAAAAAAAAAAGCTGATTTAAAAAGGCCCTTTGATTCCACAGGCACAAAAAATCCACAGCCAGGAATTTGCTGCCACCTCTGAGTCAGGCAGGGGTTGGGGGTGGGGTGCACAATCCCATTAGTAGAGAATGCCCAGTGGATTTAGTCTGTGAGAGTCACATTTCTTATTTGGACCAGTGTAGACAGAGACAAACCCAGCTCACTTGTTTCCTGGGACAGTTAAGTTAGGGAATGGCTTTCGCAGAGCATTCATCATTGACCCCTCGCCGCCGGGACCTTTGTGGCCGCTCTATCTGGCTAGCAAGGAAGATTCGTTCAGACCTGACTGCTCTAATGGAATCTTATGTAAGTTGCCTCTTTTATTGTTGTCTATTTTCTCTTCATCACCTGATTCATTCCCTTCCCATCATGCTCTAGCCCCATTACCGATATAAAGCCCTAATCATATGGCCATTCATAATTTGGGCACCAACTGATGTAACCCCTTCCTTTGAGGAAACTCCTGTGACCTTATTTCTTCCTCCAGGCTGCTTTGGAGACATCTTGTTCCTTGAATGAGAAAATGTATATGGGGTTCTAGGTTGTGTTGGCTATATGTCTTAGAGGCTATTGCAAATCTGCTTGTATTATGAATTCTACCAGGATAGATTAACTACGGGCTCTCAAAGTTTGGGTTCTTTGTAGACATTGTTCTGAATTTTTTTGAGTTATGTAAATGAAAGACAAGTTTATAAGAATGAGAAGAAGAGCACTATGAACATGGGAGAAATTTATAAATCCTACAAATTTCTCCAATATATTAGCCACCCACTTTTTAGTATTATACATCACAAGTATACCTGTGTCTACATAGAAAGATCACCTAATCTGTCAAAGAGATCCCCTGCAAAACTCACTGGGGACTCGTGGAAGTGTCATATGTTTAAGGAGGTAACACCATGGAGTTCCAGATTGGTTTTCTGATAGTGGGGGATCCCCACCAGTCTACACCTGAGATGCTGTGGAAATACTCCAAGCCCCTGTGAAGAGTTTTGAATTTAGGTTTTCTGAATTGGTTTATCACCACTTCTTTTTTAAACTAACTTTTGCATGTTCTAAGGGATTGACTTCATCATTGAGTGTGTGTAGCGGAGTTAGAGAAATTCTACAATAGCTACATTCCAGGGCTTCCTAGGTGTGTCCAGTGTCTTCAAGTATGTTTAAAAACACTTAAGCCAGGCTTGGTGGCTCAGCCTGTAATCCTGTGCTTTGGGAGGCTGAGGTGAGTGGCTTGCCTGAGCCTGTGGGTTCGAGACCCGCCTGGGCAACTTGGCGAGGCCTCATCTCTACAGTAAATCAAAAATCAGCTGGGCGTGGTAGTGTGCACCTGTTGTTCTAGCTACTTGGAAGGCTGAGGCGGAAGGATTCGCCGGAGCCCAGCCTGTCGAGGCTGCAGTGGCCGGGGAGTGGCCACTGCACTCCAGTCTGGGCGACAGAGTGACTCCCAACTCAAAAAAAAAAAAAAAAAAAAAGCCACTTAAACATTAGTGTGATTAAAATATTTCAGTTTCCAGAAGAGAGTTTGAAGTGGGAAGGAAGATTTCTAAATCAGGGGCTTTCAAACTTTAGAACTTAATGAGAGCCAAACATTCTCCACAGGCAGGTACTCAATTTCAGGGAGTATCAGGTCTTCCTATAGTTCAGCTGTGGATCCCAAATGAATAGCCCCTGCTCTAGACATTTTATTTTCTAATATCACTTGGATCCTTAAGCGGTGAGGTGAAGTTTTTCATAAGACTTAAGGATGATTTAAGGATATTGGGATGATTACAGAAGGCATGATGTTTTCTGTATCCTTGGCCAGGTGAAGCATCAGGGCCTGAACAAGGACATCAACCTGGACTCTGTGGATGGTGTTCCAATGGCAAGCACTGATCGGTGGAGTGAGCTGACCGAGGCAGAGCGGCTCCAAGAGAACCTCCAAGCTTATCGTACCTTCCATGTTATGTTGACCAGGCTTCTAGAAGACCAGCAGGTGCATTTTACCCCAACTGAGGGTGACTTTCACCAAGCTATCCATACCCTTCTACTCCAAGTTGCTGCCTTTGCTTACCAACTGGAGGAGTTAATGGCCCTTCTGGAACACAAGATTCCCCCCAATGAGACTGACGGGATACCTATCGTTGTTGGAGATGGTAGTCTCTTTGAGAAGAAGTTGTGGGGCCTAAAGGTGCTACAAGAGCTTTCTCATTGGACAGTGAGGTCCATCCATGACCTTCGTGTCATTTCTTTTCATCAGACTGGGATCCCAGCACATGGGAGCCATTATATCGCTGACGACAAGAAAATGTAGCAGTTTGCCCCTCCTTTTCATCGCATTTTTGATGGATTATGCATAGTTCTCTAAGACTTCACTTTCCCATCTTAAATTTCTGGCAGCCTTTAAGACCACAGGCATTTTCATCAAGTAGGGTTGGAGGCACGGTCAAATGAGCACACAAGTTTAATTTGGGGTGGGTGGCATACCTGTGTGTGTGTTGGGGTATAAAGAAGTGGGAACAGGGACAACATCCTTCCACTTCAGTGCTCTAACCTTTCTAACCTACTAAATAACCTTTATGGGCACTTGACTATAGACAGAGGAGATATATTTTAACTCTAGTTTTGGATGACTTGTCTGAGAAGACTGAGCCAGTAAATTAAAAATCATAGACTCTAGCCAATTTAAACTCTTAGATAATTGAGGCAGTATGCCAAAGGGCTTTATGTAGTTATGTATAACTTTTATAACAACTTTGTGAGTGAGGTGGTGGTGTTCCCATTTGGCAGATGAGAAAATAGAGAAAACAGGCTCTCAGAGACTTGGTTACGTCATGCTGTTAACAAGTGGCATACTGAGTTTTCTCATTGTAAAGATCTTTCTCATTGTAGAGCCATGTGCCTTTGACTTCAGAGGCTTGATTATGAGCCTTCTATCACTCTTTGTCACAGAGGGGTGGAAGATATATCCATGTAATCTATTACTGTCACTGAAAAACAGCCCCCATTAACATGTTCTCTTGAGACAGTAGCAAGTTTTGGCGCTAAAGTCAGTATTTGTTGCTCATTCTTGGCAAAGAAGAGAGCAGCTGGAGATCTTAAGAAGCATTTAGAAAAATGATTATGGCAAACTTTTGAATCTTGGAAGTTGGGGATGTTCAGTAATACAGCCTGCTTTAAAATGTTCACTACTGGATGTTCCTGAATATTGAGTTGGGCACAGCTTGTACCGGTTGCCTCACATTTACTGTAACCAGTGATGCATTAATACAGGCCCTGTAACCCAAGCATTTGTGGACAATGGTGGAATACTACTCAGGTTAAAAAGTCACAGAACTCCTTCACCTCACATTCTCTGGACTTAGTCATGAGGAGAAGGAGGCCCACTCTGTTCCCACTGGAAATGCCAGAGATTCTGAAACAATATACAGCAAAGCCTCTGTGCCGCACTGCAGAGCCAGCAGGTCTCTGTGTTAATTTTGTGAGAACCACACGTGGTATGGTATGAAAGGCTATTATGTGAGCATTAACGGAAAAGGTTGTTTGCAACAAGACCTGTGTACTTGTACAATGTGAATCTGAAAGTTCTCAAGTGGATCATTTATATTTACCAGTTAATTAAAACTCAATACCTTGGATTTGGGGCCTAAGTCAATTTAGTTTATTAATTGAGGCTTCTGTCTTCTTAAATGGACCATGAGTCAGAGGGCTGGTTCTCCAGGGTTGCATGAGGTGAGGGTGGGTGACTTTGCTTATATCCTTTCCCACATGAGTTCATTTACAAAACTCCATAAAGTCAATATTGCTAGAGGATTTTGAGCTAGGTATTGTGACAGTTCAGGGGAAGTAAGGTTACTTTGTAGGATGCATTTGTGGAGATACGCACACACGCACACACGCACACACTCTAGGTTGGATTTGCAAAGCCCAGGTTTGTTAGGGAGTTAAAGGAAGGAGATCATCAAGGGCCTAAAGTAGATTCCTAGAGGAAGCAGGAATTGTGTCTCAGAGGTTGGCTGAGCGTGAAATAGAAATCACGAGGAAAGAAACAGGAAGAATTGCCTGATTTAAAAAAAAAAAAAAAGCCGGACAATAATAAATACTTGGGTCCAGCTACCACTAGAGTCTTATTGTTTGCTTTTATTTCATTGGTAATTTTGGTCCAGATATATAGTTCCTCATTGAATTTACAGAGGCTAATTTCACTCAAGTTTATTCCTTTTAAATTGTTTCTCCTGTTTAACAGTAGCATTTTTAATTGATAGGATAACTGCTTATTAGGCCAGGCGTGGTGGCTCATTCCTGTAATCCAAGCACTTTGGGAGGCTGAGGCAGGCAGATTGCTTGAGTCCAGGAGTTTAAGACTAGCCTGGACAATGTACTAAAACCTTGTCTCTACAAAAATAGAAAAAAAAAAATTAGCCAGGTGTTACGGTGCGTGCCTGTAGTCCTAGCTACTCAGGAGGCTGAGGAGGGGAGATTGCCTGAGCCCAGGAGGTCGAGGCTAAAATGAGCCATGATCATCGTGATCATACCACTTGCACTCTAGCCTAGGTGACACAGTAAGACCCCAACTCAAAAAAAAAAAAATCTGTTAACGTGAAGCTTTTAGGTCTACCTGAATAATACTTTTGTTCAAAGGAGAAAGGTGTACTTAAAATTTCTTAATGGGGAACAGCTGATTATGAATTTGTTGGATATAAAGTGAGTGACTCCATCACTTACAGATTAAAGAGTAAAGTATTAAAGTTTTTAAGTAAGAAATGAAATGTTCTGTCCCCCCCCCCAAAGAAAAATAAAGGGAAAATAATAATATGAGCAATTCCTCTCCAAGTGTTTTTGTATTCAGCAGATTTGTCAGGGCAGACATCTGCAGGAGTTTCACAACTCAGTAGAGCTTGGTTTAAGTTCTGCTGAGTTGCATATGAAGGAATACGTATGTATAAGAGGAGGATTTGAAGTGGCCGAGGGTCCAGAAAAGGGACAGGTACTAACTGTTGAGTGGGAGAAGACAGGAAAATGTGTAAGTAACAATTAGGTCACAGAATCAGCAAGTTTTTACTGAGCTCATTCCCAGCACTGTGAAAAGCTGTGTATTAGTTTGTCTTTCAAGACACTTAACAATATGTCTCAAAAGATGTGTGAGGAAACTACTTAGAGAAAGATAAAGTGAAAATGAGCATTAGCAACGTAACAAAAACAAATGTATGAGATCTGAATGTGTAGACAGTTCAATTATATCATGTTTATTTTAAATGGATAAATTGAATAAGAGTAACAATGGATTAGTGTTTTAGGTGTGTGTCTTAAGGTACAGATGAAATAATGATAACACTATGGAAGTATATATAGTGTTTGGAATATATAACCCAAAAAAGGTTATATTCCCTTGGTTTCTAGATCTGAATATGGCTAGGACCTGTGGGAAATCACATATGGTATAACTAACTATATAGGTAGAGCTACAGCAGTGAATAACGTGCATAAATTTAGTTCCTGGCCCCTAACTCTCATCTTGTAAAAATGATCTCTTCCATTCACTGCCTCCAGAAAAGTCCTCTGTGGAAAAAGATTCGATTTTCCTGAGTTTGTCAAGGAATCGCATGGATGAAAGTTGATAAATTTTTCTTGTATCTATTTAAGAAGGTGATTTTGGAAAAGGCTTGTAGATTAGGACAGACTTGAAAGACATACATGGAATAAAATTAGCTTTAAGTTAATCAGGTTTAAGGGAAGTGAGTTTTAATAAAAATGGAAAGTGTAAAGTCATAGCCTTGGCATTGCTGTTATTTCAGGCTGCTGTGGATTAAAGCCCAATGGATGACTCATTGTTGTGACCACTTGTTGAACAGGGAGAGCACAAATAAATACTTCAGGAAGACATATCTGAAAGTTGTTTAGACTGAATCTTGCTTCTGAATCCTCAGCTCTTCACGTGATACCTGAGCTTTCTCTCCCTCTATTAAGGTTTAAACAGATGCAGGAAGCAGAGAGACCTCCACCAGGATGAGAAAAGGATTGGTGAAGAGGAAAGGAGGGGGAGAGTAGAATCTGGATTTCATTTACATTGATTATGTGCGTGTGTGAGAGAGAGAGAGAGAGATCAGGGCATTCTTTTTAAAAGAATGGTTTGTCCTCCTGCCTCATCCCACCTCCACTTTAAGCATCAGACCCAATAATGAGCTTTCTGAACGTTGATGCGTTCAAAAAGTGAAAAATGCTTAAAAAAACTTCATCTCTGGACTCAAAGCTTCTATAGAGCTCTGAGGACTACAGATAAAGACAGAGTAAAAAATAATTTGTTCTTTTGATAAGTGTGTGGGGTGTGAGATAAGAAAATCCATGTGCTTATGGTTCTTAACATAAAATATCTATTACTTGGATCAGCCTGGTTTTTGGCACATAGAAAATAAAAGATGCAAGAATGGCTAACAATCAAGTTCTCTTCTCAGCAAGACCATGAATTACTCTTTTTATTTCTGTACCTTTGGATGAACAAGGGGAATTTCAAGTGATTTCAGCATTGGATGAAATGTAATCCTCCCAGTCCAGGCCAGATTCAGTCAAGCATGTTGGGTAAATCTCCATGATGCCAGGCCACTGGGCAGAACTCCCAGGGCCAGTCAGCTTGGAAAAGGTAGATCGCTCTTGCATCACCAGGCCAGTGGTGCTTGCTTTGCCCTTTGGCTGTGTAGTACTATTAGCCTGCAGTTGAGAAAGATTTTCTTTTATATGGTTTGATTTCAAGGATTTGACCCCCAGTCTAGCCTTTGACTAAAGAGAAGAACCCTGACTATCCCATATCTAGTCAGGTTAGTCAGGTTGGAAGTAAAAACTAAATTGTGGAAAGTCACATAGGAAGGAATAGGAAAAATTGCTGGGAGATTCTGTATTTCTATTCACATGTTCAAGATAGTATGAAGGAAATAATGTTTACTTATTTACCACGTTGGGCAATCCTACACTAATTGTTTAATCCTGATACGTTATCTGTCTTTCACAGATGAGGAAAATGCGAATGTGGATTAACTTGCCAGGTTCCTCCTCTAGCATATGTCGGGGCTGGAGTTTTATTTCTGGCTCCAAAGCTCACTCCAATACACCCATGCCATGGGACATCTCATAATTGAGGTCATCTTATTTTAAAATCTATTCTCCATCTCTGTAATTCACTTTCCATGGCTAAAGCCTGTACAGGCGTACTCGTACCAAATCTTGCTGTGCAACAAAATCTGTATTAAGATTTCCAAACTTTGGCCGACTCACTTTTTTTCCTGAGGATCTTCATTTATGAAATGGAAGTGATGAAAAGTCACAAGTTGTTACATAGTTTAGACAATTGGAATATCTGAAAGTACTTGTAAATGGCATACCATCACCAAATATCTTTAATGTCTCAAGTGCCTTGGATTCACTTTAGACTGGATAAAAATATCTTAGAGAACACCAGTTGCTTCCCAGGATTGATCTAGTCACAGCCTAGACTTCATCGTGTTGTGCCTGTAGGCCACTAGAGGCCGACCCAGTTTCATAGTCTCCAGGAATCATCCACCTCTCTGGAGAGTTGCTACAAGGCTGTTCACTGCACCCAAAATACAACTCTCTCAGTAGGCGGGGTCAGACACGTTCTGGAGAAGCCTGGCACTCTAGAGGGAGCCAGGGAAACATGCAAACTGAGGAGCCACCCAGGATGTGTTAAAGCATGCACTTTGACTTGGGATCATCTGCATATACCACACCCTCCTCTTGATACAGAAAGGAGTCAAACTCTTAGTTCAATCCTTTCATTAAACACAAAGCACGAAAGAGCCAAAGAGGTTCTGCAGTCTGCCTGGAGGTCTTAGCTAGAAAGTGGAAGGATGAGACCTACAGTTGATAGATTCCCTGCTGTACCTCCCTGCGTCTCCATTAGACCAACTTTATTTTAGAAAACATCTGATAATCTGCCTTGAACACAGTGCCCTCCAGGTTCTGCGCCTCTAGTAATCCCTCAAGATTTAGGAACATCGCCTTATGAGTCACACTTCTTTGGCAATCCCAGCCCCCACCTCTACTATAATCTGATGGTGCTGTCTTCCATTCCTTCCCTGATTTGATGGGGAAAAGATGTGTCCCATTCTAAGGGACACATTCTGAAGTAATGGCCTAATGTTACTCCTTTTAGGAGAAGTCATGTGAGCAAGGCACCCAGGGAAGCTTTTTTAAAAATAATATTCTCACCGGGCTCGGTGACTCAGCCTGTAATCCCACGCCTTTGGGAGGCTGAGGTGAGTGGATTGCCTGAGCCCGCGGGTTCAAGACCCGCCTGGGCAGGCGAGACCTCGTCTCTACAATAAAATTAAAAAATTAGCCGGGCGTGGTAGTGTACGCCTGTAATTCCGGCTACTCAGAAGGCCGAGGAGGAAGGATCGCTGGAGCCCGGCGGATAGAGGCTGCGGTGGCCGGGAGCGGCCACTGCACTCCAGTCTGGGCGACAGAGTGAGACTCCAACTCAAAATAAATAATAATAATAATATTCTGAGTCAGGTGTCCTCGATGACATCAACCCTTACTCCACAACACTTGGTAAAGTGTTAAGACTAGTTTCTTTTAACAATCCCTGACTCCTATCCCCAAAGCTTGGGGTGGAGGG